TGGAAAGAAGTTGGCCTTTGGCCGGCTACGTATCAGGCGACGCAATGAAAGAATCGGGTTAAAGCGCGCGATTTCGGAGAGTAGAGACAAATCGATCGATAGAATAGGATGGAGTAGAAGTGTGAGATGTGAATGCAATAAAGCAGAAGGCCAGAAAGAGTTTCTAGTGAAGGCACTCCAAGAACCAAGTGGAAGCATCCCGTCGCCAGCATTTGTGACAAGATGTCCGGCGGTACTTTGAACGCGTAGCAGCCCTTTCGATTTTTCGAATTTTTTACCAAAACAAAAGCAATATTTCTGTTCTTTTCATTCTTATCGTGGATAATGAGTCTCAAGCCAGTGATTTATGGCTGAAATAGAATCATGATTTTTCCGTGAAGGATTCCTTTAAGGAAAGAGAAAAGACCGGCAGATGGTGTGTGATACTGACGGGCTTCGCTACGATATACACTGAAAAAGCTTTGCACTCAAACACTAACTAAACATGAACACGGATGTGAGAATGAATCAGCACTATACGAAAAGGGACGAGCATGAGAACGAAGAAGCATGAAGTTTCCCACACCGTATCGAATTCTCAATTCGCTCCTTCTTGCGACACTCCCATACGTTGAAGTAACAGCGCACTCGTACGCTACACGAATCACGTTACGGCTGAAGTCAGAGTCCGCGATCCGTCGCAGTTTCGCATTTTCACGATTTGCGCGAACCTGCGACGGATCGCAAAAATTGCAAGTGCCCCATTTGAACATTTGAAACACTGAATATGAAACAAGTGGAATCATGAGCAGTCGTCATTCAGCCATCACTATCAAGCAGAAGTGGCGGCAGGATTGGAGAACACCTTGCAGTATTGATCGTGAGTCGCGTGAATCGCGCAAATCGCGAAAATCAGCGAAACCTGTGACGGATCGCGGACTCCGACACCAGCCATACGCAAAAACAGGGCAGCGACAAATAGCGCGGCTATCGCACGCACGACCTGTTGATTGTGTTCTGGACTGCATCTTACTCAAGCTGATATGGCCTTCCGGATGTGCTGCAGAAAGTTACGGAGCGACGTCGCGCTTCTTGAGGATTCATACTTCGCGCCCAAGACGGAAGCGCGTGTTTCGTGTTCCTGTTTGGTATTCCCTCATTCAAAAGCAAAACTAAAACATCAGCAGTGCGTGTCTTTTTGTTTACAACAAATACATGTATTTTTGACATACTTGTATACGCCAAATATAATAATATAATACGTATACATGCATGTCAGAAAAACATGTGTTTGTTGCGCACTACATGCGGCAGGCCTTCTATTCTTCCGTGATCAGCCTTTACCATGAAAGTGAAATGGCTTTTCCCAAAGCCGCATCCTAGCCTTCCACATGCGACGCGTACCCTGCCACTATTCTATCCTAAGACACGGTTGCATCATAGGATCAGCCATACTCTGCGTTTTTAGATATCAGACCAGATAGCGCGACCACTGAGAGAATGAGAAAGAGAGTGCCTCGACAGGGAAAGGTTGCTACAACATCACGCGTTTAATGGCGGGCCCTATGGCGTAACCCTGTCTCCCCTATGTTTAGGACTGAATCGGCGATGGTGGACGCGTCCCTCTATGGGAAGGATAAGACATGGTCCTTGGTAAGGAACACTGGTCGCCAACACGCAAGCAACCTAATTCCACATACACATTCGTTGGCCACTACGATTGCGAGGGCGCTGAGTAAACATAGATTACGTTTGGCATTAAGCAGAAAATGAATTCGGCGTAAAAAAAAATTCAAGATTTTTGCTATCCCAATCATCTGCTTGAAAGAAAAACACGTTTACGATCGACTTGCTCCATAGCAGAGAAGATACAAAATTCATTGTGAAAACTGATAGACGCACCGGTCTGAGCTTTTCCAGATCGGATATCTGATGAGACAGTGAATGCATAGATTTCAACGCATCGGTACACAAATCTTGATAGATCACACAGCGATCGCATTTCGGTGTCAGCTGTAAGAGAAAATAAATGACAGCTACAAAAAAGAAAGAAGCCTCAATTAAAGGCACATTCCGTGATGGTGGAAAAGGGGTAATGGGGATGAAAAAGGGATTATACGTATCGATCTGGACATTCAGCGATTACGCGATGGGAAACCTCCTTTAGTCCTTCAGTCGATGCGCATACATTCACTTCAGCACAGAAGCAAAATCGCCGGATCACTCAATCGCAATAATCGCATAAGTTGCGAGCTATGAACGGGAATTTATCCATTTACGGAGAAACAAAGCGTGGTGATCTTTCGAATTCCTATTAAGCTACTCACAATGGTAGACGCATTGGCTCTTCTGTACATTTCCTCATCGTCATCCGTTGCTTCCAGCGCTAATTCAGTGAGTTCTGCCATTAATTCGTCGGGGGTCTCTTCCTGGAAAATTGACCTAAAAGAAGCAAAAAAGGGAAGAAAAATCAACGCTCTTTGAAAAGTTGAGCTTGATCGATGTCAGACGCGATTGCAATTGCGTCAGAATCGGGAGTGGAGAGGCTGCGACTTCAGGCACAATGTCAGACGCGAGTGAGGCGAGCCGTTGTTGATCCGTATTACCAGAACAGCGGTACACCCGCACCGCTCGGATTCCGGCGCGATGCCAAAATCGCGCGCGAGATTTTCCTTGTTGGTCTGTATGGACTGCGACACCCCACCCTACTCACGATTACGATCGCAACTGCTAAGTGAAGTCTGACATTTCTGACAACTATTTAGCCTGCAATACCCTGGTGAACCTGTATTTGTTCACCAGGGTATTGCAGGCTAAATAGGCTAATATATGGAAAATGTAAAGCGAGAAGAAAGCACCTCCCCAATGTACGCCTGCTATGGCCAAAATTTCATAGTGGAAGCCACTTTAATTAAGGAAAAAAAATCACTTGTTTCAAGATTAGTGCACGAACGTCGACAGGGTAAAATTTTCAATCTTGAAATCTGCCGGGAGAGGAGCGGAAGAGACAAAAAATTGGAAATTATCCATTACGAGCTTCATCGTTAAAGAATTGGCAAAACCAAAATGTTTTTGGTCATGTGTAATCAGGATCAAATGAGGTTACTTAATCACGTTTTTGTTCTGGTTATTGATTAAGTCACAGTTTTATTGAAAAAGCGTCACTTTTTCTGTTCACTACTTATCATGAACGCAGAGTAGTCAACATTTGAAAAATATTGAAGCATCCAAAAATCCGTTCGAACCAACTACTGGTGTAAAGCAGCAGCGATTGCAAACAAGACGGTTCCACAATCTTACCCCACAATCAGCTTTAACACACTTATGGATTAACGGTGAGAAAGTCTGAATTCGGATTCGGAGAGTATTTACATACTAACTCTACCCTTCACAGGGTTTCAGTGTCGTGGGTATCTCACACCCATATTCTGCTGTATGTTCGCCATGGAGGTCAATACCAGAATGGGGTAGAGATGAGCAGGATTTCAAGTGAAGTTCATTCTGAATACCTGATACTTCCGAAAAGTTATCGTCGAAAGGAATTTGAGAGAGAAAAACCTAAAGGCTTATCCCGATGTTCTGCTGCATGTCACCTTCAATTGTGGATCCTGATCAAGGCACATGACTGCGACTAAGTTAAATCATCAAATCAAATCGCGGTGACTGCTGTTACTTCGAACTTGCTCGAATGGATGTGTTTCATTCGAGCAACTTCACTTAGGAAACAAAGTCTTATTAGATCTCGTGAATCTCGTCCTTATCAGATTACCATGTACAAAAACTAACTGATCTGGAAAGCCCCACTCAATGTTGTTCTCCTAGTGAGACAACAAATATCTGCACTACAGGGCAGGAAGGTCGTCGCCACATGGTGGCTCACATGGCACGAAATGTTTTAAGTTCAAATTGACGAAGATAAGGAAATTTGAAGAAATCGTAAATAATAAGAGAAGTGCACCTACCACGTCATCAGTCAGTCGAACGTAGGATTTTGTTGGTTCTGCGAGTTCAGTTGCTTCCGCGGCTTGAGGCGCTTCTGCAAGTGGCATCGCCTCTGCGGCTCCAGTCGCTTCTGATGGTGTACTTCTGAAAAACAAATTGTTAGCTAGGCATTACGGGGAAATCCACTCCATATCATACACCATGTATAGAAAATCGTGATTATGATGTCCATGGGGAGTCTTTGTGAGCCCAAGAATGAGGATCGTAGTAACTAAATCCATATATACTACGGGGTTTCAACATCGGACCTGAAGAAGTAGCAGAAAGATGTAACGAGATGTGACGGTCTATTTATTTGCCCGGATTCATGTTGAAACGAATAAAGTAAATAAATCAGTAGGCCATTTCGATGGGTCACCATGAATCACTTTTGATACGGTGGGAAGGGTGATTTTTCCAGCTCCAGATGGACTTTGTACGACTCACACGTTACCATTGCAGTTACTCTATCCCACAAAGTGTGGATGACCCTAACCAGAAGAATCGTAAAATATTTCTCAAAGCTCGCGGCAAGAACGCAAAGTCAGACACCTATGGGAGGCCAAATACCGACTCAATTTTTCCGAGAATTTATTCAATTAAGAGGCAATAGATAACATATCTGTCGATTGGAAGAATGAAGGAATAGGAGGGTAAAAGTCAGGAAATTAGGAAATCCGGTGCTATACAAGTGGGGTGGGCACACCAGCTTTTCACGCATGTCAAGTGACTGCCCTCACCCCCACCCCCCTAGATTGGCTACACTCCCCCTGGCTCACGAATTCCCCGATTCTCGTGACAGTATAGTAGCGGGCAGCAGTCCCACTTACATACATTTCTGTTCAAAAATGCGGCGTGCCCACCCTACTTGTATAGCACCGGAAATCCAACTGACAAAAGTAGATGAATGGGAAATTAAGTCCATGGTTAATGACCCTTTTCAGGGCCCCCAGACAATACCTAACCATTTGGGCGCGGCCGCGCCCAAATGGTTAGGTATTGTCTGGGAGCTCCTTTTCAGCCATCTGATCTCCAAATCAATGCGTATGTTTTTCATCAAAAACTGATCTCCTGATTTCCTAATCTCTCAAAATGTTGAGTATACGACGTGCACCCTATTCGGGCTTCCACTATTAGAGTTGTAAAGTTGAAACTCGCATGATCATTTGACATAAATTGTAATCCATTGCATGCTCAATGGTCAAATAATGCAGACCCTGTTGAATGTGGTGTAACACCTTGAAGTGTGTCAACTCACAAATCTTAGAATGTCGAGCGCGAAATTCTCAGAACATATGGTAATTGTCGAAATTGCATAGTGGGCGACTCGGGAGATTAGGATAGTAGGCGACAGGATATTAGGATAGTAGTAGAGTAGGAGATTGCGCTGACAAGATTGGATACGTATCGATTGAAATCGCTGGAGAGTAGTAGATTGGGCGACTTCAAGCGAATAGATCAATACATATCTAATCTTGTCAGCGCACTATCCTAATCTACTACTATCCTAATCTCCTACTCTACTACTATCCTACTATCGTAATATCGCAATCTACTACTCTCCAGCGATTTCAATCGATACGTATCTAATCTTGTCAGCGCAATCTCCTACTCTACTACTATCCTAATCTCCCCGTCAATACATATGTTTTTCATTGTCGCGTACTATCCTAATCTCCGGAGTCGCGAACTATGAACGCGGCCTTACGATTGTAAGATCGCACACCAATAGATACGTATCGATCGTCAGAAGTGCGACATTTACGATCGTCACGATTGCATGATCTCACGCACGATCGATACGCAGCTACTACTCCACAACATAATCCGACTTTCGAAATGCCGTGACGCGCAGTCACGTGTTGTCTGTGGTTTGGGGTCACCGCGTCGCCTTCCCCATGCGTCCGCGGTGTATGCGATTTTTACGGCCGGACGACCGACCATGCATGCGCGCTAAATGACGCTAAGACTAATCCCAGGAGAGCGGAGAAACGCCAGTGAAAACAGAAACGGCTCAAGTCCTTTCCCAAATCCCTTCCCGTCCTTACAGGCGCATGCATAGTCGGTCGTCCGATTGTAACGGTCGCACAGCATTGGATGCGCATCGATCGTCAGACTTGAGTATTGGACGATCGATACGTATCTAACGCTGTGCGACCGTTTCGATTGTTACGATCGGACAGTCCGACCATGAATGCACCCTAGAGCTTGTCCCAAGTACTGTAAGTGAATGCCTCTCCCATGTGCGCCTTGCTACCGTTATCTGCGTTCTTTTTCTTCATTCATGCCCATTAAACACATCGCTACATGCTACTATAAAATATCCCCGATTTTGATCAGCTGATGGTTGCAAAACAACGGTCCAACTCACGTGTCGACGATGGCAGAAGTCGTAGGTTCCTCCGCCATTCGACTTCAGGTTGTACTAACGAAGACCCGGATTAAATTTTGTCTGAAATAGCTCACTTAACCTTCTAAAGCATTCTGATATAGAGATACTAAAAGAAAACGAAAGTAGCTACCACGAATTGCGGGAATTTTTGGCTTCAATAATGTACAGTAGTTAGATGCGCAAGTTAGCCGCGGAGCACGTTGAAAATTTAGGCCAACGAGTCTTGTTTTGTTCGTTTCGTGTTGGCGCATATCTATAAAATCGTGCTTACCTTGACGTCATAATCTCATGCTTTTGGAATTGCTTGTTTCAAACCTTTGTGGGGCGCAATGTGGCTCGGGGGGGGGGGAGCCACCTCGCCACATCGCGTCAAAATCACGGGAAATGCTGAGTGTCGCGTTGTTATTGTGCTGATACTTGTGAAGAGCAGGAGGAACCCGGTGTACGGGAAGGCAATTTCTCAGTATTCTCTAAGAGTCCCTCCCTGCTTGTTTAGGGTTTGGTCCAGATTGCTTTTTCCAGGGGGCCCCCCCCCCCCCCACGAGCCACATTGCGCCCTTTGTGACTGATTAGGAGTATCGCCGTTCGCTTTTGATGCGCAAATCTGAGGTTTTTGTCGTCCAGCTGTCTTTGAAGCGCAATGTTTCAATTATTGTAACCTTTTCAAGTTGCAAGAGGTGCTATAAACTTTTCGGGTTTGTCTCCTTCTTTCTGGACCTAATTTTCAATGTGTAGTTGAACCGAGTTTATTCGAATGATCCTTCGATTTCCACACTTTCTGATGGTTTAATGTTTACTGGTAGTGGTTCATGCAGTAGAGAAGCTGTGTCTGAGATGACTCTGCAAATTTTGATTTCCAGTTGAACGCTCTAATAGAGCGTTCAGAGTTGGCGATCGCACGTGCGATTAGGCGACTAGGGCTTATGTGCTCGGGGGGGGGGGGGGCAGTCACCGCGCGGCTGTGCGGCAACAGGAAATTCGAACATTCCAGCTTCTCACGCATGTCATGTGACTGCCCTCACCCCCAACCCCCCTGAATTGGCTACACTCCCCCTGGCTCACGAATTTCCTGTTGCCGCACGAGCGCGCGCGGCGACTGCCCCCCCCCCCCCGAGGCACATTGCGCCGGAATAGCTTCTATAACACAATGATGCAAATAGAGTTGGGCGAGGAGTAAGGCGATCAGGCGATAGGCGATTAGGCGGGCACCACATACGTATTGATTGATTTGCTCCGCCCATCGAATGTTGTAGGCGAGTGGCCGATGTCAGACTCTGCGGGTGCAGCGGTATTCACCATTTGACAGATCGCTCCAGACTGCCGGAGCTCCGGACATCGCTCAGTGGGCGATCTAGGCGATCGGCTCGATGGGCGGGAGCAGCCAATCAATAGTATCCTTCTTTATCCGCCTCATGCGACTACTCGCACGTAAAGATCGCAAATATGAACGCTCCATAAGCAAACAGCGTTTTTCCAAACTTTCATATAGCATTTTTTGAAAATTAAGAGCCTTTTAGCTAAAGGAGCTACTTGATTCATTTGGCTAAGCTTTGGTTCAAAAACTATCGAATCGGTAGGTACGTGCTTTGCCATTTTCGTTGGTTCCTCCAGTAGGCAGGCAGTTCAGAATTTCCTTGAGTGCGATAATTCTTCAAGTTTTCTTCAAACTATACCTTCTTACTACCACTTATTCAAGTACCTAATTTGATGTGAAGGTCGTCCTTATTTTTAGATATTCTGCATTTTTTTACTCAGATATTTCTAATTTTTATATTTGTAGGGTATAGAATGGTTGCAATGAAGCCGGTGGCCAAGAACTCCAAATCCGCGGTGAAGTCTGCGAAAAAGGCCATTCGAAAGAAGAAGGTCCACCTCAAATTCAACATTGAGTGCAAGAATCCCGCAGAAGATGGAATCTTCAATACCGAAGACTTTGTACGTGAACGAGTTTCTGTGCTCGCAAGTCGATAGAGTTTCCGTCTCTATCGCGCTATTGGGCTTAGGGTGTAAACGGTCCCTATTAAGTCCCAGTATCCTACTTTAGGAAACATTCCTTAACGAGAAGATAAAAGTTGGAGGAAAATGCGGTCAACTTGCTAATTCCGGAGTCAAGGTTGAGGTTAACAAGACAAAGGTCTCAATCATTGCTGATGTACCGTTTTCAAAGCGGTAGGTGTTATCTGTCTTCTTGTGGTGTAATATGCTGCCTCCTAGTTGCAAGTTTTGTTTAGTTACCTCAAGTACCTGACTAAGAAGTACCTCAAGAAGCATTCTCTTCGTGACTGGCTCCGTATTGTCGCCATAAACAAGAACACATATGCGCTGAGGTACTTCCACATCAATCAAGATGAGGATGAGGGCAGTGACAATGAGTAAATGTTATTGTTGTTCAATAAATTGTTATGGTTTTTGTTTTTTTTACAGTGGCATTTTGACAGTTGAAATCAAAAAAAGATAAGGGCAACAGCTGACGTTGTGGTAATTGAATCCATTTATTTAGCGCATGTTCAGTCGTTTCCCTCAGAGTTCAAAACAGACATAGGTGATATGGGTTTTGTGCGTGAAATTCTTTAGAAAGTAAACATATCACGCTAAATCACTACACTGGATTGCTAGTGGTATCATTACTGGCTGAGATGTCGAATTGTGATATGGAAGTGTGGCTCATTGCAGCTGCACACTACTCGAAGTCCACTAGTGTTTATCCTGATGGAGGCGGTACGTAAAGATTTCGAAGTTCGAGTATTCATTCGCTGTCTTCGACGTCTTTTCTCCTCCCACTACTTCTAGTATTGTTCTGGACATCTCGTGGTGGTGTCCTTGTGGAACTTGGCTGCTCGATGAATCGGCATTTGGACATAGGCCGTATCTTGGAAGCTCTTCGCTTTTCAGCGAGGAAAGTGTGATTCTAGATGGTCGTCACTTTGTATTAGTTACTATGCCCAACTCTGAAGCTACAGAATCTGTCAGGATATTGAAGAGGAAGGTTCTAATGCGCCATGTAGCCGCGTGAAGCTGCGCGCTGCTCCTGAAAGCGGGGTTGCGAATCACTGCGCAGTACGAGTGCGGTTGTCAAGCGCCGTGGACTGCAAGGTGTCTTTGTAGAATGTATGAAAACTGAAAAGTTAGTCATCTTGAAGAGTCGTAGGTGTACCGTCCCTTCAAAAAGACGAGACCAAGGGTTTCCTTGCGCGTGGCGACGCGCCTTTGCGGTCGAGCTTCATGCAAGGCATCGTTCATACTTCGCGATCCAGCGATTCCATTAAGTCTTGTGCGAGATCGCTTGATCGTGAACTGCCTCATCACCTAACCACGCGTTGCGCGCAGTACACAGTTCTGCGGCGATATGGGATGGTGCGGCGTAAATTCTCAAATTTGGCCCGATACACTACGAATATTTGACTTCTGAGCTAGATTCTATCCGCTCCATCATCGACGGCTTTTGACCTCTCTTCTTCGTCAACCATTATCCGCTTTTTCCGGTCTCCGGTCTGCTTCTAGACCAATATAGAAATCTCGTGGTAAACTCGGTGCATGTCCCACCCACCAATTAAAATTGAGTTCCTTCCTTTCGCCGGCCTTATCAACTTCTTCTCCGGATGCTGGATTCATGGAATGGTCTTATAGGCTTGGCAATAAACTCCACCCGGTTTGGTGCATGCCCCCCCCCACCGATGGAGTTTGACTTCCTTCCCTTGGCCAACCTCCATATACTGTGAGGACGTACAGACGACAGACGAAGCGCTTTATAGTTAGTAGGATAGCCTAATCGCCGAAATCGCTCTGCTGGCCGGAATCTGGTTTTGGGAAATTCGCTTGAAAATTTTGAGAGTAGATGTTCTGGATTTGTTCGTAACATGGCCACGCTAACACTGGAACTGGTCTGAATGGATGGCTCTCCGGTAGTGCTTGTCTCACTGCTCGCCTTGAATTGCATCGTCATGCTGGTCGTGACTTCCTGTTTGTGAACTACTTTGAAAAATATTCAATGAGTTCCTCAAAGGGCTCGTGAACACTGAGAATATTTGATTGCAGGGAGTACAACCCCAAGAGAGGCAAGATAGAGATAGAGCATGTGCTGATTCCACGTGAGTAATTGCGTTTTGTAAATTGTAAAGTACGGTAGGTATCAGAGACAACCGTAGCAACGGCGATTTCGCCCCCCCCCCCCCATTTGCAAAAAGCGACTCTTGCACCGCATGTTCTAGGAGGGAGAACATCCAGGCCGATGGTTAGGTGGACACTTGGGACCTAAGCCCAGGAAGTGGGGAGAAGCGTGCTGAGATAAACCGTTACGTTCATATCCTTCAGCGGAATTCTTCCCATCTCTAAAGCTTATGGTTAATCCCGAGTGTGACATGCGCGCCCCACTCTCTTATCTGACTCGGCCAGACGAGCGGTTTACCCTGGTAGGTGACTTTTTAGTTTTCAGCATTTAAGCCCGGCCTCAAAAGGGAGACATCGTATGCCCAGATGGGTCGCACTCGCTTCTATAAGGCAGCGGTATCTCCCAACTTGTAATGTTTCTCCATGCAAAACGTTGAGGAGAGGAGGAAGCAGCGCTATTGAAGCATTGTGAGCACAAAAAGTTGGTTGTCCAAGCAGTATCTCACTTCACTTATAAAGAGAATCTGAATAATATAAGAGGGTTCAGAAGATTTTACACTACCTCCTACCTTCCTTCAAAGCGAGAAAGTGCTCGGTGCGACCATACACACAATTAATCTGGCGGCTCCCAAAATGTGAATGTTTTCTGCATGAATGATTAGCCAATCTGCCACCATTCAATATTTCTATCACTTAGTCAATTAATTCGCAACTATCATTTAGAGCAAAAAATCAGCTATTTCCATTAACCATCCAGCCGATTCACAGCGTCGTCACTTGTGGGTGTATGGTCTGCACCAGGACGCTCTTCTCGTTTTTTTCGAGAGGGGAGGGCATGGTAGCAACTGCTCGAACGAGTGCCTCACGGTGATGACTGAAGAAGGGAAATCCATGAGCCAAGGAGAGTGTGGCAATGATCTAGTGCGGTCGGGGTGGAGAGTTACATTCATACGCGGACCACATTTGAGGTCATAGTAAACTAGGCAGATTCTCGTGAACCCACAGTCCCCCTCCCCCACATCAACGAAAGCAATTTCATATGACCTTCGGGTTGCGCGTGAATACCTTGTTCCTAGAGTGCAGAGCAACTTTTGGGGGGGGGGGCAAATGCCATGATGGATTGGCCTTTTCAACTTTGTAGAGAAGGCAATCGTGTTTTCAGACCAAATGAAGCTTTGAACAGAGCGGCCACTCCCAAGACAAGAAGTAGACAGAAAAAACAAAAGTTCACTCAAAGACAGCGAGCACTCCCTGCGAACCAGGACGACAAGGTACGTTTTGATGGGATGGTACCTAACTGTTGGTAGCTTGAACATTCACAGTGCTGGGATGCATGAGTAAGGCAAGATTATACGCCAGTTCTTTGTTGTGTGCAGGAATGTTGTCTCTCATTTCTCTCATCTCTCTCTTCCTCTCTGTATTCGTCATTCCTCGCTCTAGTCCCGATGCCGAATGGATGAGTGCCTCACACAGGCCTAAAGGCAAGGGCCGGGATAAAATCACTGGTGTGAACTTATTCGGTAGGTAAAGTAGAGTTGCTTGTGAACATCGCCGATGCACCATTGATAGCGCTCGAATGAGTGCGACAAGGGTATTGGGATCTTGAAAATACTCCCGACTATCGGCCACCCGGTAGTTTTTTAGAGGCGGTCGCTACAGCCGCTTATTTTTGCTCTCTCGTACGGTGTGCTCTCTCGAGCTCTATTTTCTCTGGTCGCTCTATCTTTCACTCTTACCAATCTGGCCCTCCAGAATGTTGGGGTCCTCGATTCTAACGTTTTTGATGGTTTCTTCTGCTTTCCGCTCACTCTGTACCAGCACCTCCACTTCTGAGCCTCCTGGACACCGATTTTATCCTGGAGCTTGCTCTTTAAGGCATATTCCACGGTTGTGAATAGTGCAGTATAAACATTTAGTAGTACGCGCCTTGTGGCTCAACAATGAAAAAAGAAGCAGGAGAAAAATCGTTGCCGTGCCTTCTATGAGAAAAATGCGTATTCGAACAATAGACTGAGACAACGATAGAACGAGAGAAAATAGAGCCTGGAGAGACGCAGGCAAGGGGCTGGCGTCAGGGAGTCCAGACAGCGTTTCTAGCCCAATATTCTCATAATTCTAGTGCAGTGACGACACATATCACATTCTCTTCCACTACTTTGGGACATTCTACGAGGTTATCGCGGGTGCCTTAAACTACTGGAGCCTTAAATCCATGTTTAGCCTGAATACTCCTTCAACTATCTTGGTCCTGAAAGCGTTGTTGTTCAACGGCAAGCACTCCGAGCATTCTAGCAAAGTCATCCCTCACTTCCAGAGGGGAGCGGTGCTGCGAAAATAAGAGTTGGATAGGTTGTTCACAAACTTACTCACATATAGGAAGGAATTGTCTCTCTAGGAGAGAGCGTTCACGAGATATGTGTCTTTCAGGCGCCTCCACCAAGAAACTCTCGGATTATTAGTCAAAATAAGGGGAAATCAGTGAGA